AACGTGTCCTGCTCTTCTTGTTGAAGTTGAACATCTTGGCAACGTTGACTAGACGTTTACAGCATTTGAATGATGGCACTGTTTTCCTTTGTGAGCACATGACATCAATGGATGCTTAATATAATAATAATCCAAAATGATGATGTATTTTTGGAAAAGGTTATAAGGTTTTTAAAACTGGCAGATTAGAAGAATAAGAAGCATGAAATGGAGCAGCTAGAAATAACACAAAGCTCTGATCTTTCTTGATAATTCACGACTTCAAGGGGGATTATTACCCCTTTCATTGATAGGGTGTTTTTCTGTATGTTTTTTGGATGCACAGCCTAGCGCAGATGTGTTAGAGGCTGATTTGTCTTGATGATGAGAAACCCTGCAGGCTCCTCTCATGCTATAAAAGGATTAGTGAAGTCTGGCACTCTTACATAACCACTGCTAGCTCCTGTGCTGAACAGTCAAATGTAAAACTCTCCACCAACTCTTTTATCCTTTTAACGGCCGCTTTACACTCCTGAGGTGTCATTCGCCAAACTCTGGATGGATACATTGTGTTCACATCTTTATTAACCGACAGGCTGCACATTTCCTAGAGGTATTAACTGCTTTTGCTGAAATATCTTGAGAACTATTGGATGGATTGGCAAGAAGTTTGGTTTAGTAAATCATGGTTCCCAGATGATAAATCCTTGTAACTTTGGTAATCTTCTGACTTTTCCTCTGGAGCCACCATGAGGTTCACATTTATGTTTTTTTTTCTGGGAAATGTGTGAACAACTACTGGATAGATTGCCAAGAATGAATTTGCTGATTTCATCTAGCGCCAACACTAGCTCGAATATGCTCATACATTTATGACAAAAACCCTGCTCAAATTATTGCAATCCCATCAGCCTCAGCTGTATTTTATGGCTTTGTTTAGCGCTTATTAGCAACTGTTAGCATGCTTACTTGCTAACATGATAGACATTGCACCTTGCTGAATGCAGCCTAACAAAAACAGCAGCATGTCTATAGACTTTTTTTTCTTGTACTTTTATTGTTAAGCCAACAGCAATGCCTTAGTGTCATTAGAGTACATGAAAATACATGAGAAAGTATGACATAGTCTGTTGGTGTTAATATCCCTCACACTCAGGGCTAATGGACGCCCGCACTAGCATTCAAAGTTTGAGTTTTCCAACTGTTCTCACATGATACTATTATAATGTCATAAGCATGTGTTCTGAATCACATTAGAAAAATTAACCAGTGACTGATGTTTAGATATTGACATAGCTGTTTTACTGTGGCTCTGCCCAACTGACTGAGATGAAAATCAAAATCATGTGTTTTATATTAAAAGCCATAAATGTTAAAAAGAAAATTCTCTCAGAATTATAATATTTGTCCTGTATTTTTCTCCTCTCCCCTCCTCTTAGCAGACATGTGTGCAGAGCTATATGTGCATGTCCCCTCATGAGAAAGCCATTTATCGAGACCTAAGCATGACTAAATATATCACAAGAAGAAAGTCCTTGGGGACGTCAGAGGCACAAAGCATCCTGGGTAATTGAACACACACTTGGCTGAACTTGACCTTTTCCATCCTCTCTTGGTGTTCATAGCCAATACATGTACGTTAATGTGCTGCTTTTTACACCTTCTACACCCGAGTGGAGGGTTAGTCAGCACCATCTGCCCAGGGTCAAATACAGGTTCACTTATTAGCATTTTTCTGACATTTCCGAAGCATGGACTGTAGCTTTCAGCAGCGTCATGACTACACAAAGTTGGTTTTACCATTATGGTATGAGCTAGCGTTGTATGGTGAGTGTGTAGGAGAGAAACTTTGGGATTTTAACCTTTGCAGACCATTTACATGCACAAAAACCTACCCAATACAGGAGAGGGAAACCACCAAAAAGCATAATAGGGCCCTTTAAATCAGATCACTTTTTTGCATTTTCCAGATATTTTGCTTTCTGCGATTTGGATTTTGGAGCCTTAGTATGAGCAGAAATGTCGATAATAATTTCTTATTGCATCAGACTGTAAGCTCATCTAAACTAAGTATGGTGTCTCAAAGTTATATATTTCTGTAAACTGTGAAGACAATTTTAAGTTACTTTTCGTCCTCATTTTCTCTTCCAAATTCATTTGGTTAAGGATGTTTTTTTTAAACTTGTCTGACCAACAAGTTTCTCGTGTTTTTCGCTGCATCTGACCTCTTTTTCATGTTTTTGCCCCGTTCCCACATGTCGTCAAGGAACTTTGGTGCAAACAAATGTTATTATTACCAATAGAAATGGCGGCCAAAACTAAGAAAATAAAGACCTAGGTTGTTTTGTAAACCGGAATTCACTAATGAGTCTAACGTTTTATTTTAAAGAAAACTCAATTGGCCTTTTTGAGACGCGTCCCAAACTCCAAAACCCACTCAAGCTCAAGGAAGGAGATCAAATGGGACACCAAGTGGAGACGAGTAGGGAGACTTTTGTCTTTTGCAGCGCTCCGCTTCACTGTAGTCACAGAGGCTCCACTGTTTGGTGCCCAGAAGAGAGCAGAAAGACAGGCAGAGAGGCCCCTTCTCGACAAAATGGAGCATAAACACAACAAGCCTTTATTCTGCATTTTGGACCTGCCATCCGAACAGCAGCTTGTCATTAAATTAACATCACAGCAGGCGCGTGCCCTGGCCCTTGCTTCCCGGTGCATTGTGGTGCACTGAGGAGGAAACTCATTCTTTCAGGGGATACCAGGTCAAAAAGCAGGGGCGGCATAGACCCGACCCAGCAGCCTTGGCGTTGAGGAATGGGAACAGTCGCCGCTTCACTGTTTTGCTGAATGGACAACCTTCTAATCCCTGGCAGCCGTGGAGGACAGAGACAGATTTGCTTTTTGTTTTTGATGTTGTGCCACTTTCTCGTCAAATCCACCCCGAGGACCAGACTGAGGTCCGAGCCAAGCCCTCTGACCGCCACCGAGGCTGCGACACGTTTCACTGCAGCGAGGCTCTGTTGGCCCCGAGCATCACACGCATGGGTCGTGCACCTGCTCCGGGGAAATTATTTGGGTGCGAACCCCAATGGTCTTCCAGTTGAAAGATTTGTATGGTAGCACTGCACTGCCTGGCTCTTGAACCAAAACAGTAAATTAGCCCCAGAGAAGAACTGAAACACTTAACAAATAAAATAAAACAAGAGTTCAAAAATAAATGTAAGACAGTATTTTACCTTGAGCTGGTTCAACTTGTGTGAATACATTTCTTTATCTAATAAAACTATCCTAGAAAATAATTGTCCCCAACTCAACAGATCGAGAAATATGGATAAAACCCCTCCAAAAATCTGAATAAATAGAACGTTTATCTACTGATGGTTGTTAAAAATCTAATCTTGGTTTTGTTTTTTGTACAACAGATACACACGTGAGCTTCAGGCCTCTAATGTCAGGCACTTGTAATGTAAAGTTAGAGTTTAAATTAAGCTGGTTTGAATACCAAGAGAAACACCCAAAAGTGTAAATTAAACAATTTCTTCTTAATAAAAATGTAGTAATTTTGAGATATTTACAGAAATGTTTGCACTGTGGCTCTTCTGCCTGCCTGTCCATCCATCTCCCATCAGAGCACGAGGGTCCACAACCTTTCCCCAGCACATACCTGCAGATCCTCCTCAGGGAATCACTCACAGTTCCGGGTCAGCCTGCATTGACGGACATTGATCATACACAGACCAGCATAACATGGGGGTGTAGGTGGGCTTCGGTAGTGAACTTTACCAGCAGCATGAATAACTTCAACTGGATTCAGTAAGCATTGCAAGTAGCGACAACACAAACTGTCACTGTGCCAAAGAACCTGAGCAGCATATTTATTTTACACATCTGCTTAATGCTACGATTTCCATTTCTATATCATCCTTTGTTGGTGCTTTTTTAGCCTTGTTCAATAGTACAGCAGGAGATAAACACAAAAGGAAGAGAGAGAGGGGAAGACATGCAGGAGAGGGCCACTGCAGTTAGGACAGAGGCTTTGGTCCCGTTTTACCAGGTGAGCTCCGGATTTTCTATTTTTATTATGTTTAACATGTTCTCTCCCTCCTACGTTCACTTTTCACTGTTTTAATACCATTCTCTTCAGTCGGCTGCTAAAACAAAGGCGAAAATTGCATAAAAAAGAGGAGAAAACACTTGCACCTTCATTGTAGTATTAAGCTTAAAGGTGGGGTAGGTAATTCACTTCAGGAACATTTTTTGTTATATTCCATGGAATGTTCTTAACATCCCGATAGCAATGAATATATGAAATGCTTTGACAATAGAGAACCGTAGTGACGCGTCCTAAAACCCGGAAGTAAACTCCTTCCGGTTCCTTCGTCTCCATAGGATTTAGGAAAATAGCTCGAAATAAGGTCTGTGGTTGACACACATTTAAGAGACGGATCACGTTTTGTTCAGCCGGATAATCTCCACATCTCTACCCTACTTTTATAATTTTCTAA